CCTCCTTTTCTCCAGGCTGAGCCCCCCCAGCTCCCTCAGCAGCTCCTGGTGCTCCAGCCCCTTCCCCAGCTCCGTTCCCTTCTCTTGCAGCTCTATGACCTGATGACCATGGCCTTCAAATACCAAGTGCTGCTGTGCCCTCGGCCCAGGGACATCCTGCTGGTCACGTTCAACCACCTGGATGCCATCAAGGATTTCATCTACGAGTCCCCTGCCATTCTGAACCAGGTGGATGAGACCTTCCGGCAGCTGATCGAAGTAAGAGCCCTCAGAAAGAGGGTGGGACACACTGTGGTTTGGCTTCATGGGTTTTTACCTCTTTCAGGTTAATCTTAGAGACTAAATACTGCATTGTACATGTCTGTGAGTCAAGTGGTATTTTTCTGCTGGCCCAGTTTAAATCAATATATTGCTTATTCAGCCTGATTTAAGTCTCCACTGACTTCAGCAGAAATTAAATCAGACTTTTAGTCACAGACATAATTACTGATAATGATGAGCATTACATCATTACACCCTTACAGCATCTCTGCTTCCCCTGCAAGTGCATCAGAATATACTGTATATTCTGTGTATCAGAATATTCTGAGGCACTTGTTTCCCCCTTTCCCTGGGTGGGACATGAACACCTGCAAAGCCTTGTGTGGTGGTTTTCCTTTTCCAGACGTACAACTGCCTCCCTGATGGTGAATTCCAGCTCATCAGGCAAACGCTCCTCATTTTCTTTCAGGACATGCACATCAGGGTAAGAGCCTGATGGCAGGGAGAATGACAGGGAGTTGGGGCTGGAATACAGAGGGATTTGGTTACAAACATTGCAGTTTGGGGTTTGTTACTTGTGCCTTTCAGTCATCCTGATGTGCTTGTAATTGCACTCAAATTTCACACATGGATCTACTACAATAATACTGAATAATTCTAATATGTTATGAAAAAAGGTATCTCTGCCAGTATGATTTGCTAGCTGATAAATCTGCTTTTCCTTTTTAGAAACTTGATATGAAACTCAGAGCCTGAGCTTGAAGCCTCAATATTCTCTAAATAAACTGATTACACTCAAGTGCATGAACAGGACATACTTTTTAATACATTTTTTTTAATCTTAGACCAGTTCTCACCCTCTGAAACACAATCCCACACTGCTGGCTCGGTGTCACAGTCTCTGCACACCCATCCAGACCCCCCCCAGCCTGGGCAGGGAGGCTCAGGCTCAGCCTCCAGAGCAGTGGGGTCAGAGGGCTGGCTTTGCCCGGGCTGTGATGTCCCTTTGCAGGTCTCCATCTTCCTGAAGGACAAAGTGCAGAACTCCAACGGGCGCTTCGTGCTGCCCGTCTCGGGGCCTGTCCCCTGGGGCACAGAGGTGCCAGGGCTCATCAGGTGAGTCGGGGCCTGCCTGGGGCTGCTTGGGGGCCCAGAGGCCTCAGGAGCCCCCTCCCAGTGCTGCTCCTGGCACAGGGAGAGCTGAACTCCAGTAAATACTATTTAAAGGGCATGACCTGGGGCTAAGTCACCCAGCAATGAAATGCTGAGCTGCTTCTGGAATTCTCTGTCCCAGTAAATGGGCTGTTAGTAATTTATCCTGTAAAAGGCAGATTTTACAGAATAGGGTTTTATTCCCCTTGTGTGGGAAGCAGAGGAAGTAGGTACTGAAAATCAGGAATAAAACTACTAAATGTTTCAATAATGCCTTGGTTTTAAGGATTTTCAATCACAAAGGAGTGGAAGTTAAAAGGACTGAGTTCACCACTGCTGGGAATTACGTTACTCCCCAAAGGGAAGGATCTTTTGAGCTTTATGGAGACAGAGTCCTCAAACTTGGAACAAACATGTAAGTCATTTTTGTCCTGTGTAGGAACCTGAACCAAATGTTGATGGATATGGACTGTTCAGAAGCTGTGTGGTTTTGCCTCTTTTGCCATTATCAGCCTGACTTGGTCACAAGGTGCTGCCCTGCACCAGGACACAAGTGGGCAGTGTGTATAAAGAGCTGTGGGAAAGAGCAAAACTTGATTTTATGTGTCCAATAGAGCTGAGTAAAGAGTGCTCTCACCTGGTGCTGCATGTTACGTGAAATGTGATTTAATTTAACCACGTTCAAGAAATCCATGGAATTCTCCATGTTTGTGTTCCATCCACTGTTCCCTCTTACAGCTTTGTCCCTCACACACCTCAGTGCCTCAATACTCCACCAGGCTGAGCCGTAACCTCTCATTGCAGCTCTTCACAGGCTTCAGGAAAATGTCCTAAAGTCCTGGATCCTGTGCTGCTCCCTCCAGTTCCTGTCCCTCACCCCAGTAGCTTCTTCCCTGTGTGTTTTTCCCTCCAGGTACAGTGTGAGTCGGCCAGTGGAGACACACATGGCGGGATCATCCAAAAACGTGGCATCCCGTGCAAAGGTCAGTGTTGTCACGGTCCTGTCACTGGTTGGACTGGCCAACTTCTTGGTCTCCAGGTATGGGGTAACTTCAAGGAAGCTCTTCTGTTGCTCCCAGAGCCTCGTCCAGTCCTTCCCACTCTCTTTGGAGCCAGGGGAAGGGCACATTTTCCCAAAGAATCCACAGGCTTATGCGAGGATGTGCTTGCTTCTCTTTTAATCTCCTCAGAAAACAAAGCTGGATTTACAGATTTCTCAGCTGTTCAGTTTAGCTGGAAAATTACCTTGTCCTGGGACTGTAAATTCCAGCAGCCATTTCCAGTATAAATCTGGCACTTCCTGGTTATCTGCACAGCCTGTCCCAGGAACAACACACAAGTGTGTTTGTATCTCTCTGAAGGACATTTATGGAATATCAGAAAACAGAACTCTCAGGCCCCGTCTCCCTGGTAACCCCCCATTGCTGTTCCTGCAGGAGAACACAGTGCCCAACCCTCTGGCCAAGGAGGAGCTGAACTTCCTGGCCAGGCTGCTGGGGGGTCTGGACATCCAGAAACCTGCTGGTGGCGAGACGGGATTTCGGCTGAATTTGTTCACCACCGACGAGGAGGA